TTGAGTGGAGACAGTTATCCATCTCAGACAATGGACGAAGGGTTGCGCAAGATTATGGATCGATTCAAGTTAGATATTAACACTATTAGATGATAGCTCAGTGGTCTAGAAGTTAAGTGTTTGCGTCGCTCATGCGGGATCGTAGATGAGCACTGTTGAGGAGTCCCGTACTAGAACGAGACGGCCGTCCAGTGCTTTCAGATATTCAATGGTAGTCTAGCTTAGATCGATTCATAAATTTAACTATTAAAGTTACTACAATCTTCACAAATCTCCATTCTGAAAATACTGATTTGAAAATTTAAGTGAGTTAAACGTCAAGGCACAAAATGTCAGAAACTTATATTGTGATTCAATGTTAGAAAAAAATAGCAGTGAAAATACGGTAAGCAGGACATGAATGATTTTTTTCACCCGTGTAAATACATTTACACATTCACAATTGATTGATCACTGGGTGGTGATCAATGTCATGCTTGTCTAGTCCTTATTAGTGCAGATCGAATGCTATCGATCATGTTGCAATGTGGCCACCAGTCTAGGTGACTCGACACTGAGGGCACTATATAACAGCCACCAGTCATATCAAAACTGAAATCTTAAATTATTTAACACTTTCCCAATTATTTTTATATTTGCTTCAAAATTTTATGTAGATGTCAAATTAAAGATCATTAAAGTGAATTAATGGATCAAGGGGGGTCAAAGAGACTTTTATAAAATACACCTTAAAAAGAGAGAATATTTGGTACATAGAAAAGGTTAGTAATAGTCTGTAGCTTTGCATAAAACAAACCCAATTTTCTTATGGTTTCTGTAATATTTACTGGATCTGTTTAAAATAACACGACAACAATAGCAGTAGTATGAATCGTTTCTATATAGATTTAAATTAATTGGGACTTTTAAAAATCAACGTTTTCTTTCCCATTTTGTTTATATTTCTGTTTCTAGATCATATGACACTATATTTTATTGATTAAATATTCCCCATATCATCATCATCATTATCATTATCAATATAAATATATACACTCTTTAAGTTATGAAACCAAGATTTCAGTCAATTTTTTTTCATTTTTCAGTTCAAATGTATCTGCAAACATCTAAAAAAAATAAATGAGAACTGATGATCTCTTTTAGAATTCATTGAGGCGGCCAGACCAAAACATGGTACAAGTCCATGAAGTCATTGACAAGTGGACTGAGTCATGTTAGTAGGTGTAGACTACCTGGTTGGGGACCGCGAGATGATAGCAACCGATGGTTAGAGACCCTGAATGACATGGCTCAAAATCGTTTGCAATGGCGCAGGTGCATACACTCTTTGTGTTCTCCTAAATTCTAACCTTCTGAATTCTTCATGTCCTTTATTTTCTTTCCAAATCTATTTCAATAGATTATACTCCTTGAATAATATCTTTAAACCCTAATGTTTCCGATTACTGCTTATACTTTACTACCTCTACCACTATGGGATATGAATCGACAACTGTATCTCTGTGCTAATGTGGTATGGCAACTGGAACTGATGTATGTACGTACGAAGTTCTACGTTGTTACTGACTGATTGGCTGAGAATTCATTGAAGTTAACATTATCTCTTTCAAAAAAACAAACTCTTCATACTTGTTTAATAGAACAACATATAGTATACGTATGATTTCACAATTCTAATCTGTATTGTAACCTTGAATTAATTGAAAGCAACTTCTGCAGGGTCTTGTACATTTATATAAAGTTACAACTTGACAATCTAGCCAATTGAGTTACAGAAAATATATTACATAATTAAGTGCACCTCTTTACTTATTACAACATTGATAGCACTAATAAGGATTAAGCGCTCATCGATGTGCCTAAAGGTTAGAAGTCCAGTGTTTAGTGGATATTCACGACTGAAGAGTCCCGTACTATGACGAAATGGTTACTCCTTATTTTTCCGTGGTTATGTATTTAGCTAACATCAATTCATGATTTAAGCTGAAAAATCGAACAATACCCATAGACCTTGTTCAGTAATAAGGCTGAAATTGTTTTAAAAGGAATGCGAATGAAGAAAAAAAAACAAAATCGATGATTAATGGAACATATACTAATTTATTACATTTCCTAATATTTAAGTGAAGACGACCGTTTACATATATGAACCTAAGGATTCACATAAGACTATTATTAACACCTTATCTTTTAAAAAGTAAAGAATTAAAATTAATCAAGGGAAATAAAGAAAAATACAAATATATATCGTGACTACAATAACATTGTCACACATCGAACTATCATGGTCGATAAAAAAATGGAGAAAAATACAATGGCCACGAATTAGTAGAATATTTAATATCTTAGAAACAAATAAATTTCGAGCAGTGATAACATGTTCAAAGCTTTGATGAAAAATAGCTGATTTTGGAATCATAAACTATTAAATAGTTAACCAATTCAACAGTCAATAAGTAACGTGTTTACCACGAGACTTGAATATTTTAAGTTTGATCGCTGACAGGATTGTCAGTTAGTCAGTACTCATTGGTCTAGGATGGTAACTATCTTTACAATGGATAAGCTTAACATACCTCCTAATGAAAAATTTTTAAAAAAAACAGATGCATATCCATCACTGTCATTGACTTTAAGTCATGTTAGCCAAGTATATATTTAATGATCGATTTCTTGTATCTCGAGCATCTTACAGCCAAGAAGCTTAAACTACAACGTAATCAATTGAGAACAAAAGTTTCTCAATTTTATGAATTAATATCTTTTAATATCCTTAGAGAAACAAGGCCACTTGGAGTATACTTGTTCTTTGTCAAATATTTCCGTACCACAATAGCTTTTATAAAGCACTTCAGCATACTTCAAAGTAACAGTGTAGACATCGAGGCTCCGATGGAACACCGAACAATGACAATTGATGTATATCCCGAAAATACTCATCAAGTTTGTCTGTGAGAACCAATGTAGTAACACTACATATTTCATTTATGCTTCATAAATAGTGTAACAAAATCAAAAAGTGACCAGAAAAATAATCGGAACAAAACTAAGAATAGATATGCCTGCATAGAAGTTGAAGAATACATCAAAGGAAACTACGAGAAAATAAATGTAATATCAGATAGTTTATTTTGTCAATGTAAAATCCAACTAAAATGAGATGACTACCCAAAACAATGTGATGACATGTCATGGAACAGAAAAGGGAGCGTAGTATGATGGTTACAATAAAATTATCGATATACACCTTGTGAATGAGAGTAAAACGCAGAGAAAGACACCTTACCGTTTATTTAATAGACGTAAAAACACCATAACACGATAATCACTGGCTTCGATTTTAAATTATGTATAATTCAACTTTCAACTACCTAATGGTGTGCTTTTTGAAATTTCCGACAACAGATACAAAGCTGACATAACCATCTATGATTCAATAAACCTATCACTGCTTCACTTATTCCAGGTCAATACTGATATCAGAGAAGTGCTCAATAAAAAGCCGCTGAGACCTTACAAACAAAATATGACCAAAACTTTTGAACTGGTGATCTAAACTCACCTTACTAATTAAATAACGAGATTAATTCTACATAAATATACTATCTGATCATTAATTCTAACATCGTACATACTGTTACCAAGATCCCTAAGGCTCTCTCTATAATTCCGATAAGATACATAAGATTACTAAGATTAGTTTGACAAGCTGTAGCTTTACATCAACTTATTTACAATCTAGATAGCGCAGTGCATTCAATGAAGCTATGAATATAACAAAGCTTATGAATATTGAAAATCCCAAAAGACATTCGATGCTAAAACCAACTATAGTCTCCTAATGTCGGAAAAACTATTTAACAAATCATCTTAGAATCAATCATAACACTTGGAAAAGAAAATTATTCAGGAAGAATAGTGTGTAATTGATGGAAATATACAACCTAAAAGTAATCTTTCACATTTTCCTACATTGAACGATTTAAAACTTCTATATTGTTGGTGTAACTTAAATTTATATAGACTAACCTATAGATGATAATATATATCGGTCATATTCTATACATTCAATTCCGACTAAGATACATCAGTTTAAAAATAAAATAAAATGAGTATTTGTTGTGGTTTGTATTAGTAAATGACTGAAAGAAAAAAACCAAATGAAAGTTTACTCAGATCTATGCCCACAATGATGTTATCACTGTGTGTTATATACCTTGGAAGCTGATGGATGATTTCTCTGGTTTACTGTTGAGATGAGTAACACAACTTGCAACTAGGACTCTCTCTCTTTCTATTTCTCTATAGATATTAATTGTTTGTCGAATGACACTATTTTTTATAAATAAGCACAATGTCATTTTATAATTTATCAGCATAAAATTTATCAAGTACATGGGAATTGTTACAACTTAACCCAATAAGGAGATAAAGTACATATCTGTATGGTTTTGCAGCGTGTCTTATTTTTCAATGTTCAATATACATGAAGTATCGAGCATTTTCAGGCATTTTTTTATTCGTCTACTTATTTGAGTAAATGCTGTATATAAGAGCATAAATTTCACTCAAAACATCATCATAACAAGCTATAACTTTCACTCTATTTACTTTTTTTATTCTCATTTGGAATGTTGGTATGCGCTCTACAGTAGTGTGTTCATAAAAGATATTTGTAGGTAGATAACTTTATATGAAACCTTTAGTGAAAACTTTAATATATAACAATCACCTACTAAGTAAATGGCAAAATGTTTGAACTTGACGTGATTTTCACTTCATGTAAACATAAATATAAATAAATACTATCACAATAAAACTATTCGAACTCACCATGTACTGAATTCTTCCCACTAGTCGTTGTTGTTGTTGTTATCGATGTTTGAGATTGATTCAAAAGTTCCGAAAGATAAGCAGACATTGATGAGATTTTCTGTTGTGATTGTTTTAAACTAGACTGTTGTTGTTGTTGTTGAAATGGTTGATGTCCTATTGAATCTTCACATAATTTTGTATTTATAATTGTTCCATTACTTGTTTGTTGTTGTATTTGATGTGTTGTATTGTTATTAACAAGTAAACTAGATTGTGTTAAATGAGGTTTTAATAAACCAAGTAATGTATATGGTGTAACAGGTGGTATCCATAATGGTGATTTACATTGTGAATTATCATCTGTTAAATTTACACGAGTTTGACGATTCAAATCCACATCGTTATTATTGTTATTATTATTATTATTATTTAATAAACCATTTGTTGTTTGGGTTAAATTCATTTCAAGAAAAGAGGACGGAACAGTATTTCCCATAATTAGATCAGTATTAGAATGAGTAATATTTGATCTGTCTGTTAATAATAATGTTGATGATGTTGATGACGATGACGATAGAAATTGTGATTGCATTGAATAATGATGACTCATGACACACAACAACACACCACAATTAAACTGTGGTTTAGTACCATATGTTCTAATATTATATTATAAACCTGGATTAGTAATAATAATAATAATAATAATAATGTTTATTGTTTGTTTGTTCTTTCCATGAATCCAAATGAATATTGCATAACGTGTGCTTAAGTTTAAATTGTTGACAACTGTACAACTAACCATACACACATATATATATATAAGACCAAATGAATGACCTAAATTTTGCCAAGGCTAAGTAAATTAGAATGGTTTTTTTTTGTAATTTTGACAACCAATCCAGACATCAACTCAAAAGCATGACATGTATACACATTTAGTGCTGCTAATTCAATGGTCTCATTAAATTTATATAATAACATGTCGATAATAAGTGTGTCTACTAAACTACCTTTGCTTAGAGTTTAAATATAGTTCCATTTATAACTGTGTGTTCATTCTTTAATTTCGTAAACAATTTCACTTACCACAGTATATATATGTATGTATGTATATATATAGATAGATACAAACAAACACATTTAGCACACGTGCCACAAACTTACATTGGATATATCCAGGCTCCCACAATTTTTTGTTGTTGTTGTTGTTGAATTTAACCAATCATTTTTTCACCCGCTTAACCAATCCAATCATATCCACCCCCGAATAGTTTTAATGGGCTGAGCAGATATCTGGTCTGATGTTATTTGACCTTCGGAAAGTTTCATGATTGGGCAAGTAAAATGACTAGTCAAGGATATTAATTAATTGTCTTATAGTTCATAAGTGTATAAGAAAATGCTTTTAACGTGTATGTTGGGATGTATTTTTTTTTCGGTTGGGGATACAACATGGAATTCCCCTGCAATAACAGTGAATGAAATTAAGATAGGAACCATTGAGGGTAAAAAAAAATAATAATAACATTTCTAAAAGAAATATTTATTGGTTTGTATTTATTTATTTATTATGTATTTTAACACGTAGATATTGGTACAAGGAGGCATCAAATATATTTGCGCTACACAAATCTCATTCGATATATGTGAGGGCTGTGATACTGCCGGGTGTCCGAACCGAAATAAGTGGTTTTCTTAGGGGGCCACACCCCGAGCCTTCGACCTGGAGGTCTGATCCACAAGGTAGTGAGCATCGTAGGGAGATGCAGTCCCATGGAAGCCGGTGACCAACAACTGGTTCATACGCTATTTGTTCCCTCAAAGTACTGGAGCCCATGTGCACCATTGGTTTGGAATCCGGTTAAAGCGCCGGACATTCGATTTTCGTCCTCTCAATTCTGTAAACAACATCCCCGCCACGAGAAGGTATTGAGTAGGACTTCCGTGGCAGAGGCTATATACGCGTGGCCATGTGAAAGCATTTCGAGAAGGAGAGCGGACTATCCCAACTCTCGACCGTACCAGGGCTTGACTTATTTTTCGATTCATCTGAAACTTTCTACATGTCATTGTAAATTATTACATATTAGTAACAATAGAGTAGGAAGTTAGAAACTTCAACCCATCTAGATTCCAATAAATTTCACCACATTCAGTATAAGGACTAGTGAAGTTGTTGTTAGCTTAATTTTAGCTTAATTTTATGGCACACTAATCATGTATCTTATTCAATTCTAATATCTGAATCGGAATTCAGAGAACTACAAAAATCCTTGATTCTATGAAGATTTAGATTAACAGGATCAAACTAAAACAAAGAAGACGGTTAACTTCTAGGACATCGTATCTTCATTTGTAGAAACTGAAATAATATAAGAAAAATCTTACAAATAAAGTGGAAATACTTAGATACTAGTCTAAAGATGTATTCTGTAAATGATTTAGTTATTTGTCATAGAGTAGCATAAATTGGGAAACCACTGTAATGTACGGAAGACTAAACAGCTAACACAAAATTCACGTCATTATTTCCGCGATATTCATTAATGACTTCACATTGGGATCTCGAATCCAAAGATTTGGATCCCGCTGTTAGCAAAATATCATTAAGCTATTGCATTCTGATCCAGTCGGTCTACAGTTCAACTTCAGTTCCTTTATGGTATAATGTGGTGCTTATCGGTCAATTAGGCTGTGAATTTTCTTTTTCTAAGCTGGTTGGGACATGTGTTACGCTTCCCTGACCATCACCTACGCCGATATGCTGTATTAACCGGTGTAGAAATAAGTTGGAAGGAAGCTAGGGGTTATCTAACCAAAAACTCGTCATCAGTTCATGAAATCACTGACTGTGGATCTGACCCATGTTTGTAGATGCAGACCATGTGATTAGGGTCCATGCAATTGCCAAGACCAGTGGTTGGAGACGTTGAATGATATGGCTGATAATCGTTCACGTTAGCGTAGATACATTCACTATTTATCTTATACTATATCTTGAACTTCATTTTTCATTCCTCTACATAAATCTTGTCATTCTGCTTTTGCGAACCATATTCTCAATGTTTAGTCTTTATCGTTGTCATTACTATAACATTATTATCGATCGTTCCCACCATACATCATCCCAGTTTTATCTCATTTGGCTAATATGCGGTAAGACAACTTGAGCTAACAGATACTTATCCCAAGCTCTGTGTTGATCATAACTTACTAACCAACTGACAATACTTTACCAATATAATACATGAGTTATTTATTTTCGTACAATTAAAATGATTAACTACACGAGTTAAGTTATGAGCATGGATAACATGGAGAAAGACTAGCATTTTAGCCGAAATGAATGAAATAGTCAAGAGTATAACAGCAAGATATTTGTATCAGTGTATCGAGTATCATGCAATTAAGACCTTTCCGTCCTTTGGTTGTCAGTCCCGAATGTTTGCTTGTGAAGGAACGATTGAGCCAGTCTTGTTGCTTACTCGATAAGGGCAACTGGCATAGAACACCTGGACAATTCTCCTTCAATGCAGGGAGAAGACGAAGTGTTAGGGAAACTTGATGTTCAACCACAACAACTTGAAATGGTATAAATCAGTATATATATATTTAGTGACAAACGCATGACTTTCAATTGCAAACCAATCAGAAAGGAGCCAAGATCGTATGAAAGAAGGAACTAGTAAAAATGCAATCGTGGTTAACATTCTTAATGATAGTTTAACATTATTAACAAATTGTTAAGTAATCTTCTGATCGCCTTAGCATTATGTTGTAACTTAGATGGTCCGTACTGATCTGCTTTTTTAATGAGGATGTCTATTTTTCTTCACTGCTTTGATTATAAATTTAATACACAATAAGAATGGCGATGATTGACTGTTGATTCTTTCCTTTTATTACTGATAGTAGTAATAACTAAATAATTCATTAGTTTTCGGAAGGTTCACTTTCATACTACAGAGGATCGAGAAATCAACACCAAGGTCATGATGTACGAATCGTTATAAAACGATATTTATCTCAGCATATCAAATCAGGATAAGTAACGTGTGCGAATGCCCAATTTTAATGAAGAAACTATCATTATGTATTTCGAAAAACACTCATCTATGAATCGGAAAAAGCAATGAATATGAATAAACTTAAAGTCATATGAGATATAGTGATATTCCTTTCTTATGTTTGTGAGGGTTACTGTTGAAGTTAGAAGTTGGAAAAAATCATAAAAATAATCTATTCAGTAACATATTACTAGCCATAAACACGTAGTGTGTTGTGTGTTACTGATGTCGACAGATATAAGTAGTATGTATCACCAATCGAAGGTGGAATGCCCGGTGTCAGATTGAGAAAATCAAAGAAAAAAGAACGGGAACGGAGAGAGATTGATATGAAAACGAGGGAACAGTCAATTATGAGACAACTGATTGACATTTTGCAAATGAAGTATTTACTGTATGATTCCTGGATTTTACCAAGAGGTTCTGTAGTTTTTCAAAATACACTTGATTGTCCCTATTTGTGCTCTCGTTCACTACAGCAGTATCTATGTTAAGCTCTTTCGTTACCCAGTATACCTTGGAAATTATTCAACCCTTCCTAAATCAGAACAAGAAGTAAAGTAGTTCTGTCGATATGTCATGCTAACGAATATTTTAAATATAATTTTCATTGTTTATCATGGTCGAAATGAAAGAAAGCATTCAAGTTACCACTTGTTAACAGAAATAAATTTCGCGATGATTTTACATGGCATTGACAGAATGCTTTTGAATAGGTTGAATAACAAACTTATCTTAGATAGACCACCACTGAAAATCTGGAAGCACCAAACGGCCGTTTTGTCCTACTACGGGACTGCTCAACAGTGCCCATCTACCAGCCCTCGTCCGGGCATAAAACCCACAACCTCCAATCATACATGAAAACTCTGAACCTATAGATCTAATTATGTACATATCTAACTTCAGTCATCTGTTGTCTGAAATGGATGATTATCTCACGTCCGGCGTAGTTGAACTCCATAGGTTATAGCTTCTCATCAGAACTCCAGGAACTGAGTGCGATTATCATTAATATACAAGAATTTATGGAGATTGTAGAACTTTATTCAGTTTAAACTATGAAACAGTGGTTTATCTATTACTGAGTAGTAAATTAAGTTATATAGAGCATCCTGATTATTGTCTCCAACCATCCAACGTCAAAAAGCAATGCAGAAAATGTTGAGTCACTTAGACACTAGTGTCCACATTTGCGAATTGATTAAAAGAATTCAGTCTATACTATGAAATCTAGATAAATGTATGACACCGCTTACTATCAAACAATAAACACTTTTCAATTAAATAATTTAAACTGAGTATATACAAATGATAAATAACTTATAAGTCAAGACAAGTATCTTTCTAGAAAGACAATGACAACTTCATGATCGAAGGAATCAACTCTAAGAACGAAATCTCACTCTCAAATAATCACAAAGCATGATGATAACATCATTCATACAATATTGATCATGGTGTATTACTTTACAAATTATTAATGTTAATGAAGACGATTATATTATAGTAATAAAATTAAGTAATAACTCTTTCATCT